ATGATAGCATGCTTACCATGAGGCTATGTGCTTATATGATATAACTTTCTGAATGCTTCTGGGTGAAGGTTGGGTTGCTTGAGTTGGAATAATTCGTCGAAACCCGTGTTTTAGCCTACTTGCGAGTAGCAAATATCACTCCATTTTTCAAAACAAACGGATATGCGATGCTTTGTTCCAAATTAGGCAATCCAGTCTATACTTGTATGCTGTGTGCATCACATAGTAACCTAGGCTAATAACCGGATTAAGGACACACAAAGTTTTCAAAAATATATATCATGGTTAGTAGAGGCCGATCTTTGATCGGGCGAGCGGGGGTGCTCACGAAGTGACCTTCCCCAATCGTACCCAAGTTCCCGAGCCGAGGCAACTTTGGTGATGACGGACACGTGGCCTTAGGCACGAGTCAGGGTTTCTTAAATTCCTCCAAAATAAAATATTTATGTGGTGACTCTGTATCTGGCAAAGCAGTCCATGTTTGGCACTTCTTTCTAAAAATCTATTTTTCAAAACGATCTGCCGGATTTGGACTCTTTGATGATTCATCGGTCTTGCATTGCATTCTACGAGATTAGATACAGGACCGTGACATTGAGTCCAAACTATAGTGAGCCCAAATGAACAAAACGGGATTCCCTCCTGGGACGTTCGGGGACGTCAACAGTGGGGCAATCTCCTATCTGGTTGAAAGTCTCCCAGTAACGACTGTTGTAGGATCTCAGCGTCTCCTTGTCACCCATGTCAATGGAGAGTAGCTGATCGATCTCCATTGGTGTTTTGGTGTTCGTTTTGAACCTAGTCATGAACGTCTCGGCCAATTACGCCCAGGACGCGATGCTGTCTTCTGGTAGCCTTTCGAACCAGGTTAAGCCAAGGTCGCCAAGGCTGGATGGGAATAGAATGCACATCAAAGCCTCGTTCCGCCAGTACACTGCCATAACCTGGCGAAAGTGGCTTAGGTACATGTAGGGATCTGTCTTCCCTTCGTAAGTCGTAAACTTAGGCTGGAGGAAGCCGGAAGGTAATGGCGCGTTCTCAATTGCTGGAACGAACGGCGAGCTATGCAACCTTGCTAATGCTTTGTCCGTTGGTCCGTAAGAAAGGCGAGGTACTGGCATTCCTACCTCGATGCTTCCGTGTGTCCGAGGAGCCAACCGCTGAAGGGCCGAAACTCTGCGCAGGTCACGTGCCCTGACATCCTCCTTCCACCGTGCCCTTTCTTCAAGCACAGTTCGCAAATCAGACGATCTGGGCAACTCCGTCTGCCTGGATGACGTCTAGTGCGTGCGCGAGGGCCGATTGGTGCTTCCTTTAGTATATGACCTCTCAGTTCTCGTTCTCTCAGACCTGGAGTAACGAGTTATGGACGTTCTTGTTTGAGTGTCGCCTGTTCTAAGGCTCCTACTCTCTGCTTGTGATGGCGTGGTGTGTCTACCACGACCTTCTGAGTGGCGAGGGGGCATACTGCCTTTGCGCCCCTCTCCTGTCGCCACCCCTTTTCCTTTTATGTGGAGCTTCATCAACTCCATGTACGCAGCCATCCTTCGTATCAACTCATCCTGTTCCTTCACGCGATCCTCCAGAACTCGAGGGTCAATCCTCCGCCTTTGCCTTTCGGGGCTTTGAGAGTGACGGGGGCTGTTATCCCGCCTTCCCCTTGCATCCCTCCGGGGGTTCTGTCATTGGGGCTCTAAATCCGCCATGGGAAGGATAGAAGGCAAACCTTCGCGCCTCCCACCCCCCTCTGGGGTTTGTCCGTCAATAACGGATTGCGGTAAGTCTTCATTGTGCGCCATTGATCTCAACTAGAGAGGAAAGCTTGATCAAGAGGTTTTATTCTTTGTGGAATTCTCACAGACGACGTCAATTGTACGAGCATGAAATAATTCTTCTCATATGATCCTGTTGATCAAGATTGCACTCCTCTAAACGTCGTCGCTTTATCACCTGAAAACACAAACGTGAGCTAACCGGCGGGTGTGTGCCGGAAACTCCTCTGATGCCTAAGTCAGCACAACAGACAATAGACACAAAAGCTCTGTGAATTCAGGAATCAAAGTTGTGTTACCTCTCCATAGGTGGTGTTATGAGCCTTTATAGGTTTCGCGTGGCACAATCCTAGTAGGACTCTTATTCCTCCATGTAGAGTCCTCCTTGGAATCACACTCCGAAAAGATAATGCTTATCCTTTCACACACCCCTCACTGCTTAAACCAGGTGAGATGGTTTTACCACGGTTGGATGTCAATATGACCAAGCTAATGTGGCCATGCTAAAGCCGCAGACTAGACCGAACTCCGACTAGCTCGGTTCCTCCTTTCACTGCGTGTTCCTTGGTTTGACATACTCCAACTGGGCTGTTCGTTCAACACTGAGCTAACCAAGCACAAGGTAAGAGTTAGCTCGGCGCTCCAACGCATAATGCCAAGATAGCTCGGCTCTCCCAAGCACAATGCCTAGCTAGCTCGGCCTATACCTGCTTAGCCTTTTAGGCCGAAGTAAATCTGCTTTTACCTCGGTCCGTCTCGCAGCCCAATTACCAAAGAAGTCACCTACTCAGTTCGGCCCAATTTAGACATAAATTACCCTCTCAAAAACCATTTTATACCTTGTAAGTAGGGGGTTCCCGGTTTGATTGCGGCTGGGAAACTTCTAATCTGTTATTCATCCGTCGGATGGGCGAATTGGAAAAAATCAATCTGTATCCATCCGCCGAATTGATGGATGCAGATTGAACGGATTGATAGATTGATGGATGGATGCGAATCTATTTGGCGGTTTAATCTTTTGCAAATTTTGAATGTAATACAACAACTTGCTAACATTTTTTTTTTTGGATAACAATCCAACTCAACATAATCAAAAGATTATCAAGTAAATTGTTAAATACCAATAATAAATACATATAAGAAAACCATGCATTATCAAAAGGGTCCAGCTTGTCTCAAGTTGAGATCAAGACTGGACCCGTCCAGTTCGGCCCATGGGGCCCATTTTTTTGGCCCGTTTCGATAATCCGAACCATTAATTGTGTAAAACTTGTTGAGTACTATATGCCTGTAAAAAATCACATTGATCGGATAACAATAGCTATGTGATCAAATCAGTTTTGTATATAAAAAAAATGGACGGTGAAACAATTAACGGTTGATAAAAAACTGTTTTGTTCACATAGCTATCGATATTCGATCAACTTGATTTTTTACAGGCATATAGTACTCGGCGAGTTCTACACATTGAACGGTTTTGATTATCTAAACGGGACCCGTGATAAGCCCCCACGGGCCCAACAGTATGGTCCAGTCCGATTATCTAAACGGTTTTGAATATCGATAGCTATGTGAACAAAACAGTTTTTTATCAACCGTTAATTGTTTCACCGTCCATTTTTTTTATATACAAAACTGATTTGATCACATAGCTATTGTTATCCGATCAATGTGATTTTTTACAGGCATATAGTACTCGACGAGTTCTACACATTGAACGGTTTTGATTATCTAAACGGGACCCGTGGTAAGCCCCCACGGGCCCAACAGTATGGTCCAGTCCGATTATCTAAACGGTTTTGATTATCTAAACGGTTTTGAACGGTTTTTTACAGGCATATAGCCACTGCCTATCAAAACTATTTTATTACTTGTTTTTATTCAAAAATTATTTAATTTGATTTTTTTAAAAAATGAAAAAATTAAACCTTATATTTTTCACACAAAAATACTAAATATCAACTTTTACCATTTGATAAAAAGATTTTCAAATTGAAAATAAATTAAAAATACAACAGAATATCTAAACTCTTTTTCAATTGAAAATATAAACAGAATATCTAAACAAATTGAAAACACAAAGTTTTATAAATTACTAGGGGTGGTTGCGGTTTGGTTGCGATCAAAGAAATCTCAAATTCGCCATCTGTTCAAAATTAGGCGGATTGAAAAAAAATCAATCTGTAACTATCCGCTCGTCATCATATATCCGTCCAAAATGTGACGGATCGGTTTAGTTCGATTAGTTTCGGCGGATCAGAATATCCGCCGCTCATTCTTACTTGTAATATGGTTTGGAAAATAATTTTCCAAGTTTTTTTTTTTTGGTATGTTTTTTGGAAAGGAAAACTAATAATAATAAAATAAAAAAATCAAACTGTTCCCAAATTTGAATTCTTAATTAAATTTATAAAATTTATGTTTGTTGTTGACATTGGGAGCAAAAATTATAGAGCCGTCAATTTAGTGGCTTTGGATTTGGAACACCCTGTTTGATCACCAAACATCGCCGATCATTAGCTAGTTGACTTCCGACCTCCCTAGCCACTTCTATTACTTCCGGTGACACTCCAATGCCTATTTCTGACCATCATTATTATCGGTCACTTTAATCTTTGTCAATACTCAAACCATGTTTATTTATTTTCTTTCAAAACATGTGTACACAAAAATAATTTTCTATTATTTATATAATAACGCATTTCTAATTTTTTTTATACTAAACAAGAAATTAATTGGTTGGTATACAGAACCATGCTCATATCTTTACCGTGCAACAATTATTTTGTTTTTACTTTTGTTTTTGGCTTTTATATATATATATATATATATATATTATCAAAATAAAGATGCTGCATGGATATCACAGCATCCGAGCCTTAATTTCAAGTTAACCACTTAACGACTAAATTTAATTCAATTCATAAAAGGAGATTGTCCACTGAGACAACCAATCCTTAATTTCAGGTCAATCATTTTCGTTGTGTTTGGTTGGAGAATTAAAAGAAAAATTTGAAAAGAAAAAGAGAAAAATTTGATAAAATGTGAATAAAATATACTTATATTTCATCAAATTTTACACACCTTTTTCTTTTTTCTTTTCAAATCTCTTCCCAAATTCTTCAATCAAACACCCCATTAATGACTAAATTTAATTTAATTCATAAAAAAAATTCACCACTGAGACAACCAATAAGGTTCAGCACTTGCTTTTGGTTTTAAGATAAGCTTTTGATGAAGCATCTAGGAAATTTGACCCCACCGTTGACACTTTTTCTCACCCAAAGTCTTTCGTCTGTCACTCCACTCCCATTATAGAGACCATCTTCCCGTTCCTCTCCACTTCACCTTCTGCCTTTGACACTCTCTCTGTCTCTGTCCTCAGGTACTCTCTCTCTCTCTCTCTCTCTCTCTCTCTCTCTCTCTCTCTTCTAAGTTTCTTTCAGTTCCTAAATGGAATTACATAGAATTTGTGCAAGGGATTGTTTTTATCTTTTCATCTCTGTTCCTTTGCCATTGTTTTTCTTTCTTTCTTTTTTTTAAAAAAAAAATTATTTCTCTCTCCTTTCTCTCTCTCATAAATTCAGAATCATTATCTACAATTACGATATCTTATTTATTAGTAAATATTCCCAGTTAATTTGTTCTCATATTCATTTATTCCGATTTGGATTGCATGATTTGGAGAGAAATGAAAATGATTAAATAGGAAATTTTCAGTCTTAACCACTGTTTGGGTAATGGAAAATTTTCACTTTCCCCTCCAAACTATCACACTGTGTCACTTGGATTGGATCCTCAATTATCAATTTGCATAATTACGCCCTTAAATTATTAAATATTAGTTCATTTTACCTCAATTCGTCAACGTAGATAATTATTTATTTATTTATTTATGATAAATCACACTTTTAAGATTTGTTTAAAATATAAATTATCTCTTTTTGTTCTGAAAATTACAAATAGCCCATTTGTTAGAATTTTTTATTTAACAAAATTAATAGAAAAAATAAATTCCTAACTAATCTCCTATATAACAATGAAATTACTTGAAAAAAACTATTAATTGACTTTATAATTTTTAATAAAATATGTCATTTGTTATAAGATTAGAAACTTGACAGGGTGAAATACAAAGGGACAATCCGTATTTTAAGCAAATCTCATGTGTTGTATTTGTAATTTATCCTATTTTTAATGGAATATTAAAATTTATCCCCGGGTAAATTATTAACATTAGTTCACTGTCGGTGTAATACATGTCAAATTATGGAGTTCATTATACTTTTTCTAAAACCTCAGGTGGTCAGTATAATTTACCTCATTTAAATTTTTTTTTTTATTTTTATGAACAAATAAAGGTATTAATGTGTACCCAATCTTTGTGTATTATGCCAAAAGTTAGATGTGTACTCAATCTTTTTCCTCTCAAACACACACATTAATGTGTACTATTTGGGCATGGTTTATTTTTATGAGCAAATAAAGGTATTTACAGGAGTTCTGCAAAGGCAAAACATCATGTTCAAACTTGGTTCCCAACCAAATCCTGACGGAGAAGTTTGGGATCATAAGGGGAAAACAGAGCTTGTACAGATTTTTATTTCGTATGGTAGCAAGATTAATTTCTTGCAATACCTGCATGTTGAGAATGGAACTTTGGTTTTGTCCGAGCGCCTTGGCGGTAGTGACAATGGAAACAATTTCAACACGGTAAGTAGTATTTACTGTGCTAAAGTAACATGTGTTTTGACAAGGAAGTATTTTTTTTCTTTTTTTTGTTATTTTTTGCTTCAATTCTTTAATCTAAGTTGAAGTTACAGAATAAATAATTTTGTTGTGCGTAATGTAATGTTTATCTTTACATTAATTTCTCTTAATGTATTTGTGTCAAATTAACTACTAGTTTACTTCATTTACTTCATTTAATTTGTGATAAATAAACTTCTATTGTATTGAGTAATTTTTATCAAAAAGTCAACTAATCAAATTTGTAATATAAAATAGCACACCGCTATTTGTGAGTCAAATTGGACACATGAAATAGTATTGTGCTATTTTGGGACAGACTTAGGGTGTGAAGGGCTGGGTGGCGGTGGACTGGGGTGGTGAAGGGGTTTGGTGGCGATGGTGGTCAGTTGGTGATGGTAGTAGTGGCTGGTTAGGGTTTGGGTGAGGTAGGAGATAAGGGTATTTTGGGCATTTGATTGAAGGACACAATTGAAATAACTAAAAGCTCAAAAAATGGTGTGAACTAGGGCAATTCTATTTTCACACACCATTTACTCTTAGTGCACACCCTTCTCAATTCACACACTAAAATAATTGTAATTTGCTCACTCCACATACAAGCACACACTATTATTCCAAATATATCCTTTCATAATGAAAAAATCAAAATGTACACATCCACTTGTTACACACTCACTCAGTTATAGAGATATCCCTTCGTATGATAAACCCTATCAAACCTCCATTGTTGCTTCATTCCATACAAAATCATAAACCTTAGAGAATGAAGATCCGTTGTTGAGATTCATGTTAAAGATATATTATTATTGGGAACGAGTATAAACTGTATTCAATTTTCGTTTGTGGGGCACAACACCTCTTTGTGTGGCTGATGGTATTGTTAAGAGGTGATGAATGTCCCCATGTCTAGCACCTGTTTTTTACTTCACCAAAGAAATTCTACAATGTTGACAAAACAAAATAAATAAATAAAAACTCTTGTTTTTATTGTCAATTTTATCGTGAAGAATGATTTCTATATTAAATTCTGAATTTTTATCTTTCAAATCCTCCATAACAATGACAAATGATTCAAATACTAAACTAATGAGAGGTTTGGGTGACAATGGACTTGGAAGATGAAAACTTTTAGAAGATGTGGATTTTGAAAGGTTGAGTGAAAAATAATGGAGAATAACACTAGGGTTTAGTGTGTTTAATTTTACACTTCTAATGCATGTGTAGTGAGAGTTTTTTAATTGCAAAGATGCGTACCGAGAAAATTTATATTTGAAGTTAGAGTAAATGGTGTGTGGAAATAGAATCACCCTGTGAACTAGGAGAATGCATGGTGTGCAAATAGAATCTCCCATGAGAAGAAAGAGTCTTACTCCCTCAATACAATCCATAGGGTATTTATACACGGTCTACAAACTATCCTAGTTGTCATAACAAATGAAAGCCACCTGTCTACTTAGCTCGTCGCTCTATCCACTATTAACCACCTTGCAGCTGAGATGCTGACACCTCTGCTACATTTGATTATCATATTAGTAACTATAGTCTATATGAATACCCACTCTTAAAGTTTCTCACATCTTTGAAATCTGCTCATTTCAGTATATTCACCGTCTTGTCTGCTAGATTTTTTGTTTGTAATTGTCCGTTACTGACTACTGTTAGCAAAGACTATTTTTTCCTATCATCTGAACTTTGATTGTTTTTGTGCTTATAAACACAAGCAGGTTAGACTCAATTATCCAGATGAGTTTCTAACATCAATAAGTGGTAGTTATCTATTCACCCCAAAAAAAAAAAGTGGTAGTTATCACACTGAACAATTTTTTTATGGTTTCGACGAGGAGGATCATGTAATGACTTCTATCACATTTGGTACCAACCAAGGCAGCCATGGACCGTTTGGAGAACCAGGCAAATATGACACAAAATTCAACTTTCAAATGGGGCAGGACCGGCCGTTTGGTGGATTTCATGGAAGTACTAAGGATGGGTTACTTGAATCTATTGGGGTTTATGTCAAGCCATTAGAAACTCTAAGTGACCTTAAATGTGCTGAAGACTCAGTGGTTTGGCTATAATCTGATCAGACTAAGATGAAGAGTACTACGAACTCCAGTGTAATTTAGCCACCTGCAATAACAAGAACAATGAGAATTTGCTGGCTGGGGTGTTCAGCTAAGTCGCAAGCTATCTCTTAATATAATAGTATGAATGTGTATTATATTTTTCATGCCTGTACTTTTGAGAGTGAAATATTGTTTGTATTATGTTAGAGAAATGTTCAACTACTTGAACATGCTGCTTCTCTGAAGTTTTTGACTGGTTCCACCCTCTGCTCATATCCTGACAATCCAAACACCTAATTGACCGGATGTCTAGCCACGTGTTTATCAAGACCAAGCAGCTAGGCCGAGTAAATTGTGCTTTTCTTTTTGTTTAGTTTGTTTGCACATGTATGCTAGCATTGTGGAACTCTCTTGTTTTTTTTTTTACGGCTTGTACTCGAATTTCATGTTGTTTAAGTTGAAAGGAATGCTTTTGATTTATGATTTATCAGGAAAAAACATAGAATGTTACTTTTAGTGGATTAAAGAAAAACACATGCAGGTGTGTGTGCTAATTTGCATGCTAAGAACAATCATTTATTTCTGCATTTTTAGTAATGTTACTCCGTTTGGTTATCAGCCCTTAAATTTTTTTTTTTATTTTTTTTTTTTTAAAAAAAAAATTCAGCTCCTGAGTACTTTGAAAATACTAAATTAAGGGGTTAATCATTTGATAATGTAGTCAGTTTTTTGTTTACATAAAATAGGAAACAAAAATTTGTTTTTATCAAAATAATGCCTGAATTTTTGTTTTTTCAAAATGTAAAGTGTTAACAAACAATTAGGTGGATTTCATAACACTGAGGATGGTTAACAAGGTAATGGCCTTCATAAACAATTCTGCAACTCCTTCATGACAGATATTGTTTCTGTTTGTACATATGGACACGGGATGCTCTGTCTCCAAACATATGTCCTTTCTACAAAAATTAGTACAGTGAGTTGTGGAGAAGAGAGCTCGAACACACTTTTTGTGAATCGGTTTCTGTTTTGCAATTCTTAAATAACAAAGAGATATATGAATTGAAAGCAAGAAAAACCTTACAAATTTAAAAAAAGTAATTACATATCTCACTGTTCATGGAAGAATGCTCACATACTGTATTCCTTCAAAAATACATTCAGAACTACAAGCCAAGCTTTGAAATTCTAATTCTTCCTTGATAGTGTCAATTTGATACAGTTTTGAGAGGATATTCCTACAATTTTTGTATAAAACCCTGCAACTACTTGGCGCAATGTTCATACGGTTACGAATGTACTCTGCAGTTCCGGATCATTTACCTTGAATCATGTTTTAACGAAGGGGGAACATTCACAAGCAAAATGAACTATTTCGGAGTAATTACCCGAGCCTAAGATGATCAAACTCATAACTTTGGCAATGTCGTGGTAGTTCGATCTTCTAACCGCCATACCCTTCTCAGAGACCTAGTTTTCTTCTGAACTGGATTTTGAGATGTTCTTTCCAAGAGAATATCAAGTTTGGATGGGTCCAGCGATAGCCTTTCAAGAATGAAAGCATCCAAATCAAAACTGCTTTCAGTACTTTCTGCATTATTGTAATCAGAGGAAGGGCTGGCTGATTCTTCTCCCTTGTCATTAGCTCCAGCTATGTCTCTGGAAGTATCATTTACCTTGTAATATGAGTTTTGGTCCAAGTTCAGGAACCGCTTTATGCTATCAAATGCTGGGTCGATAATGTCTAAGAGCCCCATAACCCATGAAGCATCATCGACAATTTCAGTACGCTGTTGCACACAACAATCAGGTCTTAGCCTCAATGTTAATTAGACAAGATCAAAGGAAAAAATTTCGTTTATTTTCCATCAAAACAATCAAAACGTTTCGTTTCCTAAGAAACTGGAACGAAATATTAGAATACTGAAATTCCAATATTTCCACTGAAATTTTAAGAAACACACCGAAACAATGAGTTGTTTTGACAATAATATATTAACATTTATATAGGTTTTAGTTTTAGTTTTAGTTTTCCATACATTTTCAAAATTTTATCCCATTTCCCTAATGTTTTCAAAATGTTTTTGAAACGTTTCCGTTTCCAAGCTAACCGATACAACATATTGAAACAAAAATTTTGATCCTTCGACAAAACACCTATATCATGTTAATGCATCTTTCACCAAGATCTCCTTTCCAAATTCATCAGATATCATTTATACAAATGATCCTACAATCTTTCTATTGAATTCAAATAGAACATGACTTGAGAGAAGCATAAATTTGGATGACATGGGTATTTTGTATGGTCAATTCTTGATATCGAAGAGTTTATTATAGGCAATTGAATGCAGTGGGTCATGGAAAATACCTGCTGGAAATAAAGATTACGAATCTCCTCAGCACGCACAGAATTTCCTTGATCCTCCTCAAAAGATGCCCATGTCATCCATGTAACATAGCTTTGAGAATTTATGTTTAGAGAAGATCTAAATAGACTCCGGGCAGCTGATAGGTTGCCAACTCTCTGCTCTAAAACTCCCCAAGCCTGCAAAATATGTATGCATATAGCATAAATGATAGCATGTAAGGTAGTCTATATGTACTACATGACATGCATGAAGCAACAAGAAACTACTCATGATCACCTCATTTATAGTGTCTTTACCTGAAGGCATCGGGCAGCACTTTCGGTGGTTGAATTGATTGATAATGCTTTTTGGTAGAGTTCCCTGGCTGTGGATATGTTTCCTTCTTTCCACTCCATCCACCCCCAAGCCTAAATCATCCCAAGAAAAAAATAAATCAGCTTCTGGTGGGCCTGCACAAGGGTGGATGCGCACTCTCTCATGCCGTACAGGCATAGAACGCTCCAGGCACAATAGATGAAGGCAGGGAAAACCGCAAACAGAATACAAGTTGGATGATCAAAACCAAAAGATAAAAATTGTGAACTGTTGTGTTCCCCACCAAAGACAATCTTTCCAAGATTATCAGGAAGAAAATATCCGTTAGTGTGCAAACCCAGTTTCATGGATTCTCAAGCATAATGAAATATAAGTACAAAATCTAGATCCAATCCAAGTAAGCCACAAAACAAAATTCACCCTAGATCAAGAATTACTTGGTTTTTCCTGGGAAAAAGGAACCCTGTCAGTCATCCAAAGTCAGTCGCTAAAGTCCCACTTTAACTTCTACAAATTTGGACTTGGAATTAATCAAGAAGTCCACAAAGCTAAATTCAAGGTTGGGGCTTAAACATATGAAGGTCTAAATAGCTGAAGCACCCCAAAACTGAGATTTTTGGTATCGTGAAGCATTATCCTCCTATTTCTTTTCACAGACTTACTTGGGTTGCAAAAGTGGTTAATCATGTGGAAAGTCTCAAACTGTTGCACAATAAAATTAGGATTAGCAGTCGGAATAAATTACTTACAATCCATACAGGTTGGTGCCTTGGGTCCAGTTCAGATGCTCTCTTGAACAGCACTCGGGCATAATTTGCAGTTGAGTATTTGTATTCCAATAATGCAAGAGACTGAAGAAGAACAGGATCCCTAGGATTCACTGCATGACCTATCTTTAGAAGTTTCCTTCCAAAATCAATATTCCCCCGATTAGCTTCAAAGACTCCCCATACATGCCAGGCAAACCTATTCTTTGGACTGGCTTGGACTGCTTTCTGTAATTTAGAAGAGAGGAAGGTATTACACATCTGATGATAAAAAGCAAAGCAGTAACATTCGGGAAAGTTACAAAAGAAATAAAATGCAAATTAAGCTAGTAGTCCCCGCACTTTGCCCTCTGTGTCATTTTGGTCATTGCAGTTTCAATTGGTTCGATTTTGACCTTGAATTTTTAATTTTGGTCCAATTGATATCAAACGTTTTATGGTACAAAGGGCAAAGTGAAGGGATCATAGGTATAATTTGTCCAATAAAATAATTTAGATTAACAAGTAAGGGAATAGGAAAAGAGAGCATGGTTAAGCGCTTCTGATGAAGTCTAAAGGAAATGATACCAAGCAGTGGCGTAGCCAGGAATTTAGTGGAGCCAAATGAATGACAACATTAATTTTTTTATTTATAATAAACAACAATGAGATATTACTAAAATTAAATATTAAGAATTCATTTGGATAAATGTGAATTTTAAATTAAAGGATTTGAGATTAAATTTTATACAAATATTTGGGAGTAACTATTTTATAGGTGGATTGAAAATTTAAAAAAGAAGATAAGTTGAGATAGAAATGATATCCTTTAGTAGAGAAATTTTATAAAACATACTTCAATAAAGTGTCTATCATATGTCGCAATTATGATCTTCGTGGTCTTTAATTATAACACATTATAGTGTTAGATATAATTTAGTTATAACTTCTTATGGTTGTTACTTTGGTTATGACTATATATCAAGTAATAGTTAGTTATGACTCATTCTGATATTAATTATGACCTATTGTATTTTTTTTTTACTTTTTTATTTTTTATAATTGAAGATGTGTTGCTTGATTATAATTTATATAGTGGTCATTTTAGTTATGAATGGAAAGAAACACATGGAGGATAAACTCCACATGTCAAATGTAACTAACAATCCAATAAATTTCATATCTTCATTAAAATTAATTATGTTTGCATGTCAATAGTGATAGACATCACCGTTACATCGAAATTTTCATAAATAATAATATGACTTATCATAGTCTCTTTATTTTGAATCAAAATAATCATTATTATTCTCATAATTTTAAAATGTCATTGACATTTCACTTTAAATAATATTTTTATAAATTTTTTTATTTAAAATATTTTCTTTATGTTAAAAAAAAAAAAAGTTCCCAAAATCCAAGGGGGGCACGTGGCCCCCCCGGGCCTAAGGTGCCTCCGCTATTGACACCAAGGGAACCCATAATTAAGGCAAAAAAAAACATAACCTCAAAAAGTTGCTGAGCAGTGCCGTTGTTTTCCCGTTGCATCTCTAATTGTGCCCACGCCTGTACCAGAAAAAGTAGAGGGATACAAGAAAACAAACTTCAATGAACCCTGCAACATGAAACAGAAAATCATCCTCACAACAACAAAACGTTGCCTTAAGAAGAACACTTACAAGCCAGCTTGCACAGCTTTTGGGATTAGATTTGGTGGCCTGCTTGAATAAATACCTCGCCTGCTCATAACGGGTTGCTTTAACCTCAAGCAATGCAAGTGTCTGGTATATGTACTCGTTTCCACCACAATATTTGAGACCTTTACCAAGGAGATTTCTTGCCTTCTTTATATTTCCTTGTTTTAGCTCCAAAACTGCCCATCCATGCCAGGCTGCAATATGTCTCTTATCAGCAACAGTGGCAGCATCAAATAATTCTCGAGCTCTCCTTACATTTCCGATCTTATTTTCCAGAACAGCCCAACACTGTTTTCAAAAGAATGAGTCCATGTAAACTTCTAATGCAAAATATATGGATAATAATAAATAATAATAATGAAAGGATAAGGAGGCAACAGCCACATTAACTCTACTTACCTAACCAAAAACCAAACATGTGTAATTGACTTAACAGAGTTTGCTTAAATCTAAGTTAAAATGATAAATAAAAATCTAATAATTTCTCCATATCCGGGAACACAAATACCCATTGTCATATGCTAGGACAAACAAACTCGACTGCTATAAGGAAATTGGATTTTAGACAATGTTTAACTAATGAGTCAGCATATTCTCGAGGTATTTGTATAACATGATCGATATTGTTAAACGGAGCAAGCGGCTTGTGAGCTAAAGGTTATTTTAGCTTTGAACCCACAGTAAAGAAGCTTACCAATTTAATCTACTGTAGTTTAAATCAAGTTTATTAGTTAAACCAAACATGTTTGACTCCAAAACACATAACTCAACAAAGCCTTAACTTTAATCAGCTAGTCTAATCAAGAAAAAATTGTACAAATTGATCTACCTAGGGGGGCATGCTAAGCATTGTCTGATTGCATAATTGGAAAGATAAGTTCCTCAACAATGCATGCCACAAAAGAGGTGGGGAAAATTATTGAGCAGTAAAAATGAAAACATTTCAACAATGCAAATTCAAGTAAAGGATATCTTAGAAGGAGAACATCATACGCACCTGCCAAATGTAGGCATTTTCACCTTGTGTTGCTTGGCAGCCTTTCTCATACACAGCTCTGGCTTCAGCTGTCTTTGATTGCTTGCTTAAAATCTTCCCCAGTGCCACATATGGTCTCCCATCTTCAGGCCAAGTATTAATACACTTCACACATTACCAAATCACACAAAATATACAACATTCATTATTATGTTTTTGGTGCATTAAATATAAAGGAATCAAGTTAATGTGTCACACAATGAAAATGTGGGATGAGTGATGGAACGTCAGTTGCGAGGGATAATATAGGTGTCAAAGAATCAATTTGAGTTTATGCCTGGTAGGTCAACAATGAAAGCGATCTATCTTTTGAGGAGAATAATAGAAAAGTGTAGAGAAAAGAAAAGAAAAGAGACATTCATATGGTTTTTATCGATAGAGTGTCTCAGGATATAATCTGGTGGGTGTTAGAGAAGAAAGGATGACAAAAGGTTACATTAATGTGATTAGAGATATATATAAATATGTGGTGACCACTATTAGATCGCCTGCTAGAGAGGCGAGTGAGTTTTCAATTACTGTAGGGTTACACCAAGGATCAACCTCTCCTTATCTTTTCGCTTCAGTTATGGATGAATTGACAAGCAATATTCAGGATGATGTGCCATGATGTATGCTTTTTGCAGATTATATCGTGTTAGTGGGTGAGATTAGAGAAGGAGTTAACACTAAGTTGAAGATTTGGAGAAAAGCACTTGAATCTAAAGGATTTAGGATAAGCAAAACTAAGACAAAGTATATAGAGTATAATTTTAGTAACAGTTACAATAAAAGCAGAGGAGACGTGAAGATTGAGAACCAAAAACTACTTAAGAGTGAACTTTTTTCTTATTTAGGATCGATTATCTCAATGACTAGGGAGATTGGAGCGGATGTGGTCCACAGAATTAAGGTGGGGTGGCTTAAGTGGAGGAGTGTGTTTGGAGTACTGTACGATAAGCGAGGACCCATTAGACTAAAAGGGAAGTTCTATAGAACGGCTATTAGACCAGTGATGTTGTATGGAACGGAATGTTGAGCAACTAAGAAACAACATGTAGATAAGATGAATGTTGCTGAGATGAGGATGCTAAGGTGGATGTGTGACAAGACTAGAAAAGATAGAGTTAGGAATGAGTATATTTGAGAATAGATAGGAGTAGTACCGATAGAAGATAAGTTGAGAGAGAATAGATTGAAATGGTTTGGTCATATACAGCGGAGACCAACAGAGGCAGTAGTGAAGAGATGCGATACAATGACGGTAGATAATAGTGTTAGAGGAAGGGATAAACCTAGAGTAACGTGAACTAGTATAGTAAATAGAGATATGAATCTCCTTAATTTGACTAACGAAATGGCATTGGATAAAGTCGAGTGAAAAAGAAGGATTCATGTAACCGAACCCATTTGATGGTACCCACCCAAAAAAAACCCATTTGATGGAATGGAACTTAAGGCTTGGTTTGGTTTGGTTTGGTTTGGTTACATTAAATGGGCACAAGATTTTCTATCTTCAAATCCTTTTGTCTCAATTCACTCTTAGTCATTGAATTTTGCATGATCCTCCAACTGAAAGTACATTGGAACATAACGATAGACGAATTTGGAGACAGAAGACTCCTAGCCCTTAAAATTCACACAAAATTATTCACTAGTAGAGACGGAACTGTGCATAGACCTACAGGGGCCCTGGCCCCCCCGCTTTGCACAAGATGCTCTACTGTTATATATAGATTTAGTTCAACACCAAAAACTTCTCCTATGCCCCCCCTCCTATTTAAGGGTTGGTTTGGGATGTTCTAAAAAAGTGTACTTTTGACTTATTGGCTTATATGGGTTGGGTTTGGGTTGGGTTTGATGTGATGTGTTAGAGAGGTGATGTGATTTAAATAAGATGATGTGACTTAAATAGGATAGTGACTTTTTGACTTTTTGACTTTTTGTATTATTTAGGGCATGCTAAACTTGGCCTAATTCTTATAATTTTAACTATTCTCTTCAACAGCTCTTTATAATACAATAATAGTATAATATACAGGAGAATGTTATATGTACGCCCATTATAAGAAATATATGAATTTTTTATTTTATGAAAGTTTAAAATATTTGTAGTCTTATGTGTAGTAAAAGTTACTAGTAGTCAATTTATGGTGTGCATCTATAAAGTGAAAGTGAAAGTTATGAATCATCATAGTTATGTTATGAATGATGTAGTATAAATCTTATGAATCATTTGCGATGCAAAATGTTACGAACTATTTGGTGAAAAAAGTTGCAATTTGTTATGGTTATGCTACATATATTGTGATAACATGTATACGATATGCACCTTTTAAAGAGTGTACACCATAATAACTCCCCAACATATTATGTTCTAAAATATATTTTTAATTATATTATTCACTTTGTAAATGAAATTAAGTTAACAATTTCTGTCTCTCATTACATTAGCCCAATTATTATTTCTCAATACTGCAATGTAAAAACTCTCATTGATTAGTGATGTTATCACGTAATATTACTCTTACATCAAATATTTAACAAAAATAAGAGTTTATCCATTTTTAATTAATAGCACGAAAAATCACAATTGTTAATTGCATGAAAATCCAATGCTTTAAATCTAACCCCACTTATCTTCCTATGTTTTTTTTCAGGGCCCCCAATGATCAAATCGTGGGTCCATCACTAGTCACAAAATAATAGAGCACTAGTGGCATACGTACGTGAACCAAGAGGCCACGCAAAAGGATGGATGAGGCCAACATTATCCTCCACCCAACCAACCAAATTGGCTCCATTCATGCTGTGACTACTTACTCTTATTGACCCGGTAGTGTTTGGTTTGCCAGAATGATTTTACATCAAGATTCAAGAATTGAATGATTATTATTTGGCCTCCCAATGGAATGACCACTCTCCTAAACTGGTGAATGGAGGTTCCATTTTTAATATAAATGCCTTTCCCTTTTACCAAACCAAACATAAGAATGAATATTCTGATTATTCCATTATAACCGCATTCCAGTAAAGCAAACACTGCAAAAGTGTTTCGACACCACGTAATAATTACCCAAAATCCACACCTTGGATTTGAAATCCTTGGTCTAAATCTAAAAAAATATTTAAATAAGACAGCTTGTATTTCAAATCCAAGACAAGAATTTTCAAATTGAGACCTCAATCATAATAAAGAAAACTGAAAAATTAAGCGTGATTCACCTTCTGAAGAAGTTTCTCTGCTTCATTATACCGAAAGCTCCTCGCAAGCACCTTTGCACGATACAAAGCCAAATCCAAATTCACCACAAGAGGCTTATCCCCAGAGCTCAATTCCACCCTCTCCGGCTCAAAAATCGGCATCTTCCTCGCAAACTCCGAAAGCCCCACATCGATAATTGCTGACGAAGATAACTCATCATCGCCGCCTCCATCTTCCTCCGAAACCTCCATAACTGGCCTCCGAACCACCAGCAACTCCTCCAGAGACTCTTTCGCAGTTCTGATATCTCCATTGCCTCCATCCTCATCATTTTCATCTCCGCCGTCGCCGCCGCGACCGGTGGCGGTTGAGTTGAAGGATTGGGGATTTTCGTGGAGAAGCGGTGGTTGGTGAGAGGACAAGGGCGGAGGCAAGAGGGGACGCGGGAGGAGGGTTTTGATGGGGACTTTGAAGGAGTGGAATTTTGAAGGGTTTGGGTTTTGAGAAGTAGAGAAGAGAGTGAATTTGGAGGTTGAAGAAGAAGAAGAAGCAGACGGAGAAGATGAGAAGATGTTCATTTTTTCTCTCTCTGTAACGGATAAAACTGTACCGTTTACTTGGAAGGAGTTGGGCGGGGTTTTGGTGGTGGGAGGAAGGTGGTTGTGAGATTACAATAATACCCTTAGGTACTATTTTTTTATTTATCTAGGCCTCGTTTGGGAACCCTTATTTTTAGTCAAAAAGTCAAAAAGTTACTGAATTAGCCAAAAAGCCAACAATCCATATCAAAAAGTCAAAAATTCTCTTTTCTCTCTACTTTTTGCACATCTTTTCGTAAAAAGTCAAAAAATCATTCCAAACATACTAGTTTTTTTTAGCTCATATTTTATTCGTAAAAAGTCAAAAAATCATTCCAAACATACTAGTTTTTTTTAGCTCATATTTTAGCTAAATAGTCAAAAAGTTACTAAATTAGTCTGTTCCCAAACAAGGCCCTATTTATTTTTTTTATTTTTTGATATTGACATAATCTAACCTATATTTATAAAAAATAATGTTGTATGTGCATAAGAAACATAGAAATGTGCATAAAAAAATTATTGTGTGTCTTAGGCCTCGTTTGGGAACCTTCTTTTTTAGCTAAAAAGTCAAAAAGTTACTAAATTAGCCAAAAAGTCAATAACCCATACAAAAAAGTCAAAAATTCTCTTTTCTCTCTACTTTTTGCACATCTTTTCGTAAAAAGTCAAAAAGTCATCCCAAACATACTGGTTTTTTTTAATTCATATTTTAGCCAAATAGCCAAAAAGTTACTAAATTAGCCTGTTCCCAAACGATGCCTTAGTTCATTTTAGCAGTAGTTCTTATCACACATATAATAAACATTTAAATAACACATTAATCGTTTGTGCAGATTAATATTATTACTATTTTTATAAATATTATGAGTTTGTTTGATTTGTATCTCAAGATATAATTTTTGAAATTTTTTAAAAAAATTTTGTTTGGTTCAAATTTTTTGAAAATTATTTTCAAAATCACTTTCTCGCTCCTACACATCAATCAATCACTTTTTCTCCCTCCTCTTTCCTTCTCAATCACTTTTTCTCTCACATACATCTACTCAATTATAACAAAATATTAAATCATCTCAAACTCTCAAATTCCAAAACTATTTTCAAAATATATAACTAAATAAATCAAAAAAAATTCTAAACTCTCTCTTCAAAAAAATTTTAAAAAAATTTATCTCAAAACATAAACTAAGCACACCCTATATTTATTTTATTTTATTTTTTATTGAATTAAGCACTTATTAAAAAAAACTTAGATTATATTGACTTCCTGTGCACATTATGTTATTGATTTTTTTTTATAAAAATCATTTTACATTTTTATTCATTAGGTTATTCACTTACACCAGAGACTAATTTGCATCTTCATATTTTTGTAATTATTTTTATTGATTTATTATTCTCCTAGACTTAATGGGAAAAAGAAAATTTATAATATCGGGTGAGCTTGGTATTGTCAAATGGGAGGGCGTTTAGGTAATTTAAAATAGAGACGCCACTGGTCCAAGATGGGCCACGTAGCTCAGAGTGTTGGAGTGGCTTACACTTCAATCTGGACATAGATTTTCTATGGTACGTGGAAGGCCCTTATTGGTTCGTGCGTTTTGCGCGAACAGTCAGGTTATTATCATTTTTTTTTAGAAAAATGTCCGGACCTTTCCCTCCATCTCCTTTGACCCCTCTCTTTTTGATTGGCCAGTTAATTTTTTTTTTTTTTTTAATCATCACCCACCACATGTGTGTGAGAGTTGTGGGGATCACATCCTTTTTTTTTAATGGTTTGTGAAAAAAAAATCCAACTAATTATTATAGAGAAAAATATCAAATAAATAAAAAATAATTTTAGATAAATTAAGGACAAGTTTGGTAAGTTATAAAATAGTCAAAAAGTCATTAAAATTTTTTAAAAATTAAAGAATTATAAAGAAAAGTTAGATTATCTTTTCTCTTTACCTTTGCACTTTTTTTTGTTTTTTTATAGAAAGTTAAAAAATGGACAAATGCCTAGTAACACGACATTCATGGGACTCGAATGGCCCGAATCTTGGTAGTGTTAAAACAACGTCGTTTTGGCAATTTTTTTTCTTTTTTTCTTTTTCCTTCTTTCTTTCTTTACTCTCTAATTTTCTTTTCTCTCTAAAACTGGTTTAAAAGAAAAAGAGAGTAATAGAGAGGCGAGAGAAAGAGAGAAGAAAGAAGAGAGGAGAAGAAAAAAAAGGGAGGGAAAACAGAGAAACCAGGTCGCGAACCATTCAAACCACCACAACTCAATCCACTGCCATAAACGGAGAGACTGAAGTTAGATTTTTGGCTGTGGGTTTGGTTTTAAGTTTGGTTTTGATTTTTGGGATTTGATTTTGATTTTGGGTTTTGATTTTGATTTTGAGTTTGGTGACCGTCAAGTTCTCCAACTTGGTCTTCTTACAATTCCGCTGACTTCTCGCCAGAGCTCTGATTCCGACGATAAAACTCTGAATTGATTGATTTCCTAACCCATTTTGCCTTTTCTGCTCAATAAAACAAAATAAACAAAAACAATCATCTTTTATCTTTTTGTGCTTTTTACAAACAAACCCAAATCACATTTTTGTTTCTTTCGGATTAGAAAACGAGACTAACATTGGCTTTGGACAAAGTGGTTGTGGAAATGGAGGTGGAGGTGGTGGATGATGCAGAAGATGAATCGTTGCATGTGAGTCTAGATTTCTGAGTTGTTCTTGTGGTTGTTTCAAACACCCCTAAATCGCTTCCAATGCCATTATAATCTCCAAAACAGAGCATTTTCGGAGAATGAGGAAGGAAAAAGAGAGGGAGAATGAAGAAAATGAAGAAAATAGGGAAAGGAAAAAGGAAAAAAAAAATGATTTTGATTATGAGTTTGGATTCAGACAAAATAGAGAAAGAAAAGAGGAAGGAAAAAAAGAGAGGAAAGGAAGAAGAGATAGGGGAAAAAAGTATCAAAACAACGTCGTTTTGGCACTTCGAGCCATTCGGGCCACTCCTTATTTGAGCTACCCAACAGCTCTGTAAAAAATATTCCTAATATGTTAATTTTTTTATCTCATATTTTAATTAAAAAGTTAAAAAAAATTCCTAAAATAGTATATTTCCAAACCAACCCTAAGTACAAATGAAATATGTATTTAGGGCAAGTGATATAATTTTTAGGAAATATATATCAGTGTAATTTTTAAAAGTTAATTACTAATTAATGAAAATATTTATAATTTTATATTTTAAAATTAGGAGAATATAAAAAAAGTGGAGAGTGAAAAAAAAAATTTAAATGATGAAAATACAAGTAATTTATGCATTCAATTATGAAAATAAATCTTGTACCATCATTAGTTAGGGGAAAAAAAATTCCACTCTCTTTTTTTTTTAAATTTCCCCTTTAATGTTTGTAAAATTTATCAGTAATTTGTAAATAGTTTTTGAAAATTTTCCCTAATTTTTACTTGCATTTACCTACACTCTATTACTTTATAATTTACGAATATTTGCTGGCGCAGTTTTACATTAATTATGACCACACTGTCCCTGATGCCCCTGTCATCATGCCACGTATGCAGAATTCGCACCCACCACGAACTCGGCTCAGTGTGCAACATTCACTAGGACAAGGACAGATGTACAAATCTTTTCGGCATATTGAACTAACAGATCTATTCGACATGTTGAATACTGTAGTATTTGGCATTACTTACTCAGGCAGGGACAAATATACGAATCTATTTGGCACGTTGAATACTGTAGTATTCGACATTACGTCATGGATGAGCAAATATATATAAACAAATTAAGCGCGTTACGCAGTATAAACAGAGTGATGCCGAATTGATATGGAATACCCCATGAATCGTTACACTATATTTGGTCTTTGAACTGAATTAAGAATATGATTTGTGTGCCAAATTAAGATGTGATTCCTATACCGAATTACTATAGTTGTCCTTGATATATCGTTTTCATTCTAATTTTAATCCGTTTAATACACCAAATTTTTTATGCACAACGTACTGTTTTCGTTAATAAACTAAATTGATACATTCATTTCACTTTATATGTGAAAACGACTTGAGTACATCAGTTAACAAACAACAAAACACAAAACAACAAAAGTGGCAAGCACATCAAACTAAAAACTAAACAAAAATCCAAAAAAATTACAAGAATGATAGTTTCGCTGCGCAAAAATAAGTCGGCCTTAGAGATCTTCAGGATCTGATTCCAAGGGCTCCACCTCTAGCTGCTTAAAAAGAATCGGCATTTCCAGGGTTAGTTTTGCAGCTGCTAAGGCCTTGAAGCAGTGCTTGAAACCCCTGTTCTCAAACTTTAGGGCCTCATCAACATATTTTTCTATCGCTGACATCTCCTCGTCATCAAAGGTTTTTGATGCCATTGATTGCGCCTCAACTGCTGCCTTCTTAGCCACTTCAAGGTCGGCCTTCAGCTTTTCCATCTCTTCTTTTGTCATTTTCAAAGCAACATCCGAAAGGTTTACCCATTTTTCAACAACACGGCGAAGCAGATTTACATGCTTCATCTTCTCCTACTTCGCAGCCGCTTTCAAGCTTTATTTTTCAGCTCTTTTTGCCTCTGCCTCTGCCTTTTGCATAGCAACAGCTAAGTTAGCTATCACCGACCTGGCTCTACTGTCACGACCCGCTCCCCATACTCAAGGGTTAAGCATCGTGATGGCCAGTAACTAAGGTTACCTCCGGCCAATTCTCAAACAAATTAATGAACGCGAGCGGAAGTAATATTTAAGTGAGGGTACCAAAATAATCATTGGAGCTTCTATTTTTATTACAAAATTTATTGACCAAAAAGGTCGATATTTACATATAAAAAATATCATAAAAGTGTTGTGTGTGTCTGTTCCGCAACCCGACTTTCCAAAAGCTATTTCTAAATTGTATTGTTTCCTGAAAATTGGTAAACAGCTATAAACACATGGCAGAGTGAGAAATATTATACCAAGAGTATAAGGGACACGAAATAACCATGGATAGTTAATTAGGCCAAAATATTTACATAACTCAGTTTA